GTCTTTGGCCGCCATTCCAACCTTCTTGGCAGGTGACAGTATATAGGACGTGTACCTGGGTAAAGTATCAGAGATAACACTTAGAAGAAGGTGCTCCGATCCATCCATTTCTGGTCCAGGTGGGTTAGTAAGAGACACAGCTGTGGTGCGGGGTTTGACATCATTTTTTCTGCGTGTGTTCCCAGGGTAGCACTCAGGTTTCTAACACTGTGCCTTGAATTTGATAGGTAGTCAATAAGTACTTGTTGAATACATAATCATTCTGAACTTGCTCCGTCAAATGTAAGAACTACTAACTGGCTAAACAGAATCATGTCCTAATAAAAATATATGTAAACAATAGAGAAATATACCAAGGGCATTACATAGTAGGTTTTTAATAAACCCCGGCTTCCCCTCATATACCTTCTCTATTGAATTTTGGTATAGGGATGGCACTTATTCAAAGAGCAACAGTCATACTGAGAGCCCGAAATTTTTAGGTGCCTTAAGATCCTGACTCAGAGGTCAACATAATATCATTTTATTCTTATCTCAATTTCTAATTTGTGGAAAAGATTAAGGACCTAAGAGCTAAGCAACTTGTGGGGAGCATTGGTTCTGTCTTTGAACGCCCAAATTGTCTCCCATCAAATTCAAATTGTGACTAGGCCCTTCAAATTGTGGGCCTGGCATTCAACAAGAGAATCAAAAGTCTTGGAGCTGTATCTTATCAAATGGAAACGGAGCATAATTAGTCAATCATTCTCTAAGTATTAAAGCAGGAAATCCGAGGTAAAGCCGATGTTTGCATGAAACCGATTACATTGGAGCAATTATGGACAACAGATCTAATCTATCTGCAACTGGCCTTACTGAACTTTGAAAATACATGTGATGAGCTGGTTTAATGGTTATGATTGGACTTCCTCTTTCTGTCAAGATAGAGTAACAGGGGCTAGATTTATCCACCCCTACACGCTTAAAACAGTAAAACACACACGCATCTGCGTCACACATACAATATTTGAAACAAGAGACTGGGCATCAGGCAAGGGGGAATCAGTAATTCCTGAGAAATAAGATCAGTCCTATAACTGCTCCAGTTTACTGCCTCGAGGGTGCTTCCAGGCTGTGCCATCGTGATAGGGAATTCCTGTAGAGCCAGCGAACTCCAGACAGCTAGAGGTTACAGGATAGAAAAGTACAGGAGAGAGCTGTACAGAGAACTCCACACCTTAAAAGGGTCTCCTTGAATATTCATCTGAGTACTCGTAAGCCCATGCACATGCGGAAACTACCTTAAGCTGGGTAATAAATACCTGAGATGTGTCTGTTCCAAGCCTGTCCTCAGTCTGGGGAATATAAAAATCGGGCTATTGGAGAGAGTATTCAGAAGGGTCTTGACACAGTAGTGGGAATAACAAACCCTGTACTAAATGCTCTTCCGGTGCCACCTAACAAATCTTGACCACATGATACCAATTGTTTCTATGTAATTTCTTTGCATCCTAGGATAAATGTCATAAATATTTATGAATACAAAAAATACCCAGCGTGCAACGGTGTGAACTACACAATGTCTAGTATATTAGTCAAAGATTTGTAAGGATGATAAGAAGCAGAAGACTGTGACCCGTAAGAGGAGAAAAATGAACTAGCTAAAGCCAGCCGAGAGGGGACTAGAATTGACAGACCAAGACCATTAAAAATGGTTACTCAGACTGTGTTTTCAGGTGGTATAGAAACTATAAAAATGAACCCAATTCAAAGGCGTAGAGTTGAAAATTACAATATCTAGGGCACCTGGGTGGCTCAGTTGGTTAAGTGACCGCCTTCAGCTCAGGTCATGATCCTGGAGTCCTGGGACTGAGTCCCGCATCAGGCTCCCTGCTTGGCCGGGAGTCTGCTTCTCCCTCTGGCCCTACCCCTTCTCATGCTCTCTTTCTCTCTCTCTCTCTCATTCTCTCTCTCTCAAATAAATAAAATCTCTAAAAAAAAGTTTACACTATCTAAAATGTAAAACACACTCAATGAGAAAATTGGAAATATTCCACTATCAAAGAATTATTAATGAGTTTGAAATAACAAACATGAAACAGAAAAGGGAATCAACCAATAATTTAAGAATCATAACTGAACTGTGGGAGAACTTTAAGCAACCTAATGGATGTATAATTTGAGTCTCTAAAGGGAGAGAATAAAAACATATTTCAAGAAATAATGTCTGAAAGCCTTTTGGAATTTGATAGAAGCTGATGCAAAAAGCCCAATGAATTCCAACCACAGGGAACATTAAGAAAAACTTAAAGTCCTCTTATAATCCAACTTTCCAAATGAATGATGAAGAAAAAATATCTTAAAAGCAGCAAAAGGGGATAAAAATGTTCCCTTCGGATGAAGAAACTCAAGTGTCCAAATTAATGATGAAGAAAAAAAAACATCTTTTTTTTTAAAGATTTTATTTATTTATCTGACAGAGAGAGAGACAGCAAGAGAGGGACTACAGCAGGGGGAGGGGGAGAGGGACAAGCAGGCCTCCCGCTGAGCAGGGAGCATGATGCAGGGCTTGATTCCAGGACCCTGAGATCATGACCTGAGCCAAAGGCAGACACTTAATGACTGAGCCACCCAGGCACCCCAGAAAAAAATCACAAAAGCAGCAAAAGGGGGAAAATGTTACCTTTAGAGGAAGAAACTTAAGAATTACAGCATACTTTTTGTAGAAACAATACAATAAAGTAGACGGAAGATCTGTCTAAAAGAACTGACCGATAAGAAGTGCAAATTTAGAATTCTATACCCAGCTAACATATATTTTAAATGTATGGGGCAAAATAAAGACTTCTTTCCAGATACACGAGCTTTGAAAAATTACTTCACCAGAAGTTCCACTCTCTAAGAAACGTTAAAAAGACTCCCTTACGTAGACTAAAGATCGCACAATATAGGCTCTACAGAAAATGTAGATCCCAGAATTTAACTACTTGATAAATATATCCTATTTTTTAATTCTTTAAATCTCTCAAAAACATATTTGATTATTTAAATAAAAATGTAATACATTATATGTATAAAATTATGTTTAAAAATAAAACGCATTATAAGAAACACATCACACCAAAATAGGAACGAATGTCATAATAATTATGCTGAGTTAAAGAAGCCAGAGGAAATTATTTTATAAATTATGATTACATTCACATAAAACTCTAGAAAGTGCAAATGAATCTGTAATGACAGCAAACCTAGTAATCACGGAGTAAAATGAAGGAAATGAGAGGCAGAGGGACAGAATTACAGCAGGGTATACTGAAGCATTTGAAGGTAATGGAAAGGTTTATTATTTTTATTTTGGTGATGGTTTTATGGGTGTATACAATTATTAACACTTACTAAATTGTACACTCTAAATATATGGAATCTATTGTATGTCAACATATCAACAAACACATCAATAAATAAAGAAAAAAGAAAGGTTGAAGGCGATAGAGGATTGCTATGACCACTTTTCCTTACAGTCTATTTTTATTGGGTTCAGAACTCATCATCAGACTATTTAGGTCACCTAATATAATTTGCAAGGTACATAATTCCTGAATTTGAATCCATATTTAACTCTTTGTGTAAAGGACCATATCATAAATTTGTCTTCATGGACAATGGAGGTTGTCATCATTTACCTCTGCCATTGTGAGACGAAATCAGCTAGGGATAATAGGCAAACAAACGAGTGGGACCGTTTGCCAATAAAACATTATTTAAACAAAACAAAACCAGGCAGTGGACTCCCAGGAATCATTGTTTGCTGAGCCCTGTACTTGACAAAGCTGCAACATGGCCATTTTAAAATGGACATAAAGGAACAAGGTAAATCACAACCATCCCAACTAAGAATATCCTAAATAATCAAATGCTTTTTTTTTCTTTTTTGCAGAGTTGAAAAGAGCCCGTGAATAGCATTTTAAATTAAAACTTTTTCTTATAAAACGAATTTTATTTTTCCTCTGAATTTCATCTTAAGAACATTTATCTTGATATAGCTATTTTATATTGCCTGAAAACATGAGTAATAGAAGTAGACAGATACAGAGGTAGATATAGATAAGCTATACAGATGGATATAGACAGATAAAGATGTAACTAGATAACATATTTCCTAAAAAAAGAACCAAGTTCAGAGATGATGTGGAGAAATTATAATGAGGTCCAAGGAAAGCTTCAGAAACAGATAACATTTTTAAAAAACACTGTATTTCAAAACACTGTGTAAGCTCCACTCCACTCATTACTATTCCTAAAAGTTCC